ACAGAGCAGATTTACAAGGAGGCACAAGTAGGAGCAAATCTGAAGGAGCTGAGACACGCTGGCAAGTAATTTCTAAAGAGAAATCAAAGGGGAAAGTCAGAGTAATCTCTTTGTTGTGGGGTTTTTTTTCCCCTCCTGCCTGGCTGGCTGTGAGAGAAGCCTCTGTCCCCTGTGCCACCAGGGGACACGGCACACGGGACACGCACAGCTCTTGTCAGGGAGGGTGTTTGGAAAGGGCTGGGAAGCCTCTGCAGAAAGGTGGGACGACAGAGCACGGCTCTCATTGAATATGGATGCCCACCTGGCTGCTGAATACAGATGAAGACCTCAAAGGCTCCTTTGCTTCACTCCTGTCCAAATACCACGTCGGTGACACAAGAGCTTCCTCAGAGCCAAGCGACAAGCGTGGCCACGTCTCACCAAGCGTGGTCCCACCAACCTCCTCCTCCATCCTCCTCCTCTTCACACCCAGGCAAAAGCGGGTCCAGCTAATGAATCTCCAAACACCCAACTGCCACAGACACCTCACATCTCATCTGAACCACTCCCTGAGATGCCACAACCACTGAAACAACAACAACAAGAAGCCAAACCACCAGCCACGCTCCCGAGCTTTCACTCTTCTGCTGCAGGATTTCTGGGGCATGTTTGTTGGCATCTTCCTGTCCCTCATGATCTCCCCACCAGCCTTCCTGCAGTGTGACAATGTCTCTCCTTACTTTCCCCTCCACAAAGCACCTACCTCCAAGACATTAATCCTCTTCCCAGTGTTTTTGGATTCAAGCCACCTGATCCAGCTCAAACACGCAGGTCCCAAAAAAACCCAACACCCCTCTGCCTCCACTGACAATGTACACTTGTTCCTTCAATGCCCTTATTATTAATTGCTATAAAACTTAATTTATTCATCGTTTGTTATGCCTCGAAATTGGATGGGAAAGAAATTCAAATGAAGTCAAGTGAAAAGATTTCAGAGCTGGTACAGAAGGCTCCTGAAGGAGCTGAAGAAAACTCTCTGGAGACTGGGAAAGCAGTGCTAACCCAACCTGAAAGGAAGAAGATCTTAAGACAAAGAAATCTTGCCAAATTGATCCTTTAATTATAACATTAGTCGTTTCTTTCAAAGGCTTAGCACAAGAACTGGGGGTGGGGGGCAGAAAAGACTTAAAGAGAGAGAAGACTTAACATCATCAGGATGAGTGGAAGCAATTAGGAGGATTTAAATTACTCTCTTGTTTAGCACAAGGCAGATGGATTTCATTTTTTCTTGCCATCGTGCTCAACTTCTTGCTCTGCCACCAGTTCCCAGAGGTCTTTTCCTTGGCAGACCCACGGGCCCAGCCTTCCCTGGTCAGGCAGCATCTTGTTCCACTCTGCACCCACTCAGCTGTTGGTGTGGACCACAATGAGCAGGGATCAGAGCAGCTTTGTCACCCTGGAAAGGGGCTGGGAGTGGAGAGAGGAAAGGAACCTACCAGTCCTCCACAGGAGGAGGGCAATTGTAAATGAGCTTTTCTCTGCAGGGGCTGTAGGAACAGGAGATGGGAAAGAGGCAAAACACAGCCTGTCTGGTGTTAGAAGCTCCACGTGAGTCCTCAACATTATCCCTCCAAGCGTGGCTGATTTTTCATCTTCACTCTTCCATCCTCTTGCTCCCAGCGACAAGCCAGACATCATCCCACCTCCTGAGTGCCAGGGGGCAAAGCAGGCAGGACCTCTGCAATGGCCAGGGGAGCTGTGGTCAGGATTGGGATGGCATTACTGCTGCCAGGGCACTGTGCATGCCACGGGTGGTGGGGACCAGGCAGGGTCTGCACTGCTCTGGAGATGTGGCTCAGACACACGGATCCAAAGGGCAGGAGGACATCCCCTCCAGCCCTCCACCTCATCCCATGGCTGCAATTCCTTCTCTGCACCACGGTGGTTCTACCTGGGAAGAGGGACAGAGCTGCCAGTGCCTGGTGGTGTGTGACACCAACCGTCAGCCACAGGATGCAGGGAGCAACACTGGATATGAGTCTCAAGCATCTTCCCAAGCTCCCAGATCCACCAGCTGCCAGGAATTTTAGCTGATGCTCCATTCTTGCTCGCTCCCACTGACTCTCTTCTGCCAGGATTATTTAAGTAGCTTGTGTAGCTTTAAAAGTTGAGCAGTCACATCTCCTCGGGCTTCATACCTGCTCTCAAAGAGGAACAGGGCCAATTTATTCATATTTTTTTCTCCCTTCCTGCTTTCACTTAGAATTAATTGACCCATAATTGCAGCCACAGAGGGGGAAAGTTAATAGACACAGTGAGAAATGCCAAAGCCCCAGAAGAACTGGTTCTCCAAGCCCCTGCCTGGAGTGACTCCATCTCCTCTTAATAGTGATGCATGTGATTCCAGTGCGTGTTCGTATTTAGAGAGAAAGATTGAGGAGCCTCAGCAGGATGGAAATCATTTCTTTCCCTCTCCCACATACTTTGTGCTGAGGAGCAGATGGATCCAGGCTGTTTACATCACGGAGGTCATGCCTCAGCTTAACAGTTGGGGAACTGACTGTTGGGAGAGCTGCGCATCGCAACCAGGAGACTGCTAAATCTGGGCTCCAGCAAACTTCTGCTGGTGGCAAGTTAAACATTCAAGTGTCCTCCTGCTGCCTCTTCGCATTCAGGACCTGCCTTGGGTATTTGTTTTCCCCAAGGAAAACCACTGCTGAGATGAGGGGGGAGAGGCAGCTCTGCATGTGAGCGTGAAGTTTGGGAAGAAGGCTGGAAAACCCTGAGCAGACCTCACTGTTTGTCAGTGCAGAAGGGGCAGTTGGGAAACAATGTGGGTCTGGGTTTCTGCCAGTGAGCTACCAGGGCTGTGTCCTGAGTTAACAGAGTGATCAGGATTTCAGTGAGCCTGGCACGGCTGGCAGCTTTCCAAACCTAAACCTGGGAAAAGGTTTCCTTGGTGTGGAGCTGCTTCCATGGAGCTCATCCCCAACGTGACCTTCTTCTCTTAGTTCAGCCCAGCTGTGGGGCATGTGGGGTTCAGGCAGACCCTGTCTGCTCCTCCAGCTCTGAGGGTGAGGGATGGAAAGCTCACCCTTCTCCTCCCACAGCACAGCCAGGTGTTCTCTTCCAGCACAGGAGGGTGGTGAGAGATGTTAAAAACAATCAAAACTAAGCAAGTGAAGCGAGGAACGAAGCCCTTCTCATTGAGTCAAGGACTCACATTGTTTGTGTGCAGAAGCACCTCCTCCTGCCTCCTGTCTCACCTCTCCACAGCTCTGGCAGCAGCCTTGGCAAGAGGATGGTTCCCCACTGCTGAGGTACCTCATCCCCCAAGCTGCAGAAGATGGCCATGGCCAGGAGGGAGGACACACGTGGTGGCCTTGCCGTGGGGCAGCAGAGCCCAGCTCGCCTCCTCCACTCACCCCTCCGGGGAGCTGAGCAGTCACTTCTCCCTAGGTAGCTGGCACACCACAAGAGCATCTCCATTGCCAATTAGGCCACCCACCCACTTGCATCCTTCCCCAATACAAACCCTATCAGCAATAAACAAACAGTGGGAATGCCAGCCGGCGCCTGGGAAGAGCCCCAGGCAGCTCCATCCAAGTCGGCGGGCGCGGGAGCAGCTGCCTCCCAGGGCTCCAGCACGGACCAGGGCACGGGCTGGGCATCCCACCAGCCACCTCCTGGCACTCCTGCCAACGCCTGGTCTGCAGGCCAGAGCTACACTACCCTGCAAGCACCTGGCACTGGCAGCAGAAGCCTCAGTGTCCACACGACACGCTACGTCCGCACACTTCGACACTGAAACAAGGGGGTTTTCCAGCTGCCCAGCCCCAGGTTTCCTAATTTCCCTCCTCTGCTTTTGGCAGGAAGGCTCCCACCTGATGCTGACAAGCATCCCCAAGGTAGAAGTGGCACAAGAAATGCAAAAGCCACCCAACAGCGCTTGGACATCTTCAGCCTCCATTAGAGTTCCCTCCCTGCAGCCTGGACCTCCAGCTCCTGGACTCAGGCTGACCCCAGACTGAGAGCTGAGGAATTTTAACCCACCAACAGACCCCAAAAGCCCAGCCTGCCTCTCTAGACAAACACTCCTGAAGCACTCTTGAAGCCACCATCATACCCAAACTCAGAAGGGACACTTAGGACAGTGACAGAGATGACCAGGACCAGACTCCACATTAATCCTGCATCTAAGAACTTCCCAGCTGGCCAGACCAGGGCTGTGGCAATAAGGAAAAAAACCAAACCCATCTGCTGCCAGGCATAGGGTCCCCAGTGCCACCTGCAGCATGTGCAGAGGAGCCCAGTGCAGAAGACACAGTCTCCCCATGCACCAGCCCTTGCCAGTGGTCGAGGACAGGCTGATGCAGCCACAGCTCATTGTCATGGAGATAAGAAGCCTTTTATTTTCTCTCTCCAAACCCAGCTTAATGGCTTGGAATAAAAGCTCCTTTTCCCCTGGGAGGAGGAGAACAGGGACAGTTGCATTGTCTACACATCCTGGCTTGTCCACATGCACCTCAGGCAGCCCCACCCTCACCAGTGGGCATCCCACACTGGCACCAGGCACACCCTCCTGGCCACTGCATCACTCCCACCCTTGCCCCAAGCCCAGCCCATGCCCACCACACTCCATCACCCAGCAAATGTAGACCCCGTATTGAGGACTCAAGCACATTTTCATAAAGCTCTTCCATGTCTCTCCCTTCCAGCAGGTCCTAAGCAGCCAGAAGATCAACACTGACCATTTCTCACAGGTGACCAAACCCACCAGCTCTTCAACAAGGTGAGACAACGAGAAAGCATCTTCATCACTGCCCCTTTCCCAGCTCTCTGGGGAGGAGAGGAGCTAAGTAGAGGCAGGGAATGGTCCCTTGCTGTGGGGCAAGCAGGTATGGATGGAGGGGAACCAGCTGCTGGGTTCCTGGAGGGCACAACAGTACCAGGGGCCAACCTCAGGGCTTGAAAACATGTGATAGGCACGGCCTGGAGGGGAAGGATGGTGTCTTGCTTACCCTGACAGCACTCCCAGGACAAGGTTGAGGACGAAAAAGGATCCAATGATGATGAGGGGGATGAAGTACAGCCAGTTCCAGGTGGCTCCTAAGGCATCATTGGTCTGGAAGGGAAAAGAAAAAACAAAACCATGTGTGATGTTACGTTCAACACCAGCACGTGGGGCAGAGGGAAGGTGCCTTGGCTCAGACGTGGTGGTGACTCTCACTCCAGGCTCCTCAGGGCAATGCAGTCATGCTCACCAAGCCCTGATGGGCCCCAGGCAGCTGCCTGTGGAGGCAGGGATGGCCAGGTGG